GCTTGTTTGGTTTTGGTAGATCATAAACTCTACACCTAAGAAAAAGGTTGGTTTAGAGACACCAAGGACTGTTCTGCTTCAAGCTGAGATAAGAACACACAGCAAGTCTGGGGAGCACAGGGTGCTCCCTGTTCCTCTTCACTTCATCCCATGTCTGAGCACTTGCCACAGAGGAAGGCAAAGTGCAGCAAGAGCATGGCTCAGGGAGCTGGGCGCAAGCAGAATACAAGAGGGGTAAGAAAATACACCCTCCTTGTAGAACCAGATGTATTTGCCTCTGATGGTTGAAGAAGATGTCAGAAAATAATTTCATTAAGACCTCTTTGTTTCAGAAGTTCTAGCACTCTGCAGCATAGAGTCCTTGATGGAATTTTCTACAGGATGGATGGAATTTTCTACAGGATGTAAAGTACAAGGAGACAAGAGAGCCTGAAAAAATATACATTGAGCATCTCCAGCACTTTGGTCTTCCAGTGTGCCTTTTCAGGAAGAATTTTCTAAAGTTGGTATTGTCCAACTCAAATCCCTCCTTTTTGCCTGAAACATGTGTCACCCTGAAAACTCAGCTTCTGAGCTTGCTAACATAGTTTTCTAAGGACTTTCCCAGGAGAGTAACTGTAAACATAGATATGTGTACATTCTTTCTGTTACACGTCTTGTGATGGGCATCTCTCATGGCCAGTGCAGTGAGAAAGTGTTATCCTGACCATCCAATCCCTGGCCGTGGTAAAAAGCCTATAAATCCTGGGAAGAAAAAAACTCTGCTCTTTATTTTACCGCACCTCGACCTGTGTCCACGTGATCTATTCATCTTCAGCAGTAACAAACATGTAACAGGGGCAGGCCACATCTCCTTGCCATGCCAACACTTGCCTGGGAATCACAGAGTCCTTTCCCTCTCCCATGCTTTCCTGCGAGCAAACAATATGGATCTCCAGCATTCTCATTTTAAGTTTTCCAAATATCTCTTGGCTGTGTGAGTTGCATAACCAAAAATGGCAGTTGACAACGCACAAAGAAAAAATCTTGGGAGAGCAGCTAGAAGATAGTTGACACCAGCTACATTGGAATTTACTGGGCTACATTTAACTGGAAACACAGAACACTTAATCTTTACAACAGTAACCTCAAACTCTTGGAACGGTAATTAGGAGGAGAGAATATATGCCAAATAATGGTATTTCCATTATCCCATGAGACAACGACCAAGTGCAAAAGGATTTTCTCTTGACCTACAGTGTCTTTTCCAGATGTATCAGCTGCTGCTTTAGTTAATACCTTCCTGCCACTCCAAGAACTGACTGCTTTAAGAAACTGTCCAAAACAGATTACTCTTCCTCATGGAAAGCATAAAACCCATCAAACAGACAGCTTGCTTCAATGGATACTCATGACTGAGCTACTAAAAAGCACAAGAAATTACCTGTTCATCAAAGCTGTCTTTCCTACACATGAATGGCCTTCCTTGGCAAAAGCAGGAATTAACATCAAATATGTAAGTAATGACAGCAGAACACAGAAACTTTTTATGAATCCAGTTAAAACCAAATCCCAGTGCCTGTTCCAGAATTGCTTTTTATTACAAACAAGAGACACTTCCTGAACTATTTGAATCTGCCTGGGGGACTTTTTATAGAAACATAAGCATACCTGAGGACTTTTTATAGAAACACAAGCGTATACACATCACAACAACGTGCAGATAACTGCACTCCTCTTGGGAAGGACTGACAGGGCCTAAATGGAACATTTCAATTTCTGACCTATCTATTTGCTGAAAGCTTGCAAGCACCTCCTCCTAACTGCATCACCCACTGAGAAAGCCATCTGGGGAGTATAGCAGGAACGGAAACACTGGAAAAGGACACTATAGGGAGGAGGAAACATTCCTTTCCTTTAAACTTCTGATTAGTTTCCATCAGAAAACACTGATGTATGAAGGCATTTCCCAAAGACCAGGCTTTACCTGCACAGTCAAGCACTGGAAGGCTTGACTGCCCCTTAGGAGCTAGCTCCAGGCCACGCTGGGTCTTCTGATGGAAGCAGCTTAAAAAGGTTTTGACAGTAACGGTAGACAGGACAACCACCTTGTCCTCTACAGCCTGTCTTCTACTTCTGCCAGAAGAGCTACTGGAGGAAAACAAACTCCTGGCTTCACTTAAAGCCAGTCACCTCTAAACCATTTTATTCCAAGGAAACTGCCCTGGTAAGCTTACCAGCTCAGCAGCATGTTTAGAGGAGTGGTGAAAACAGGAGCAAGCTTATGGCAGAGGTCAGGCTTGATGATAACCTCTCCCAGCTGCACTTATTTCCACTGATTTTACAGAGCTAACAGAGACCTTTGCTATCCCAGTTCATTTACTGCCAAGTGAACTTCCACAATCCAGCCCACCCAGGAAAAGGCTCATGAGAAGAGTGGGATGACCTGCTGGGGGGGCATGGGCTTGTCCTGCAGTCAAAGTTAGGTACTGAGAGGATATGCTCTAAACATGCTGCTAAAACAGAAGGTCCAAACTGAAAAGCTTTCTTCTCCATAAGTAAAGTGGCAACCTAGTAGTATCGTTACTAAAGCATTTACCCATCAGGAAATATAGATATGACATATGTGAATTAAAAAAAAGTTAATGAATATGAATATTTATTAAACAGCATTGCCAGCAGAAAAAAAAAACAACCCATGGGCCAAAAAAGTCCTGCAGTTGTTTATGCTTTGTTACCTTTAATTACAGAAATAATCCCATTAAAGGTGATTCTTTGTATCTAAAGCTCTTCCCACAGTCCCTCAACAATGCTAATAATTCTTCCTCCATGCCTCTAAGGTGAAAAAAAACCCTTGTTCCCTGGTTTACAAAACTTTACCTGGTTGCTATCAGGCAGTTACCCCAATCCTGTGAAGGCAAGCTAAAAAGAATGGCAAAATGGATTTTAAAAATGCCTCAAAGCTCAGACAGCAATACCATGAAATCCACAAGATTTTCTTACCCCACAGGCAGCTCACTACAAGAATCCCAGGCTCTCCTTTCATCTTTGCATCATGGTACATTACATTTTTCTAGAAATCAAGTAAATCAGTTGAAGGGGAGGCATTTTTTTGTGTTCCTAAAGCAGGGCAGCACTTGGTGAGCCCTGTTCTGCATGGTATATTATATGCGCATGTCTCTCATAAGGATTTCTGCTGCAAATCCAGTCAGGGTCAGGTTGAAAGCAGACTTTTGCATCACAAGGATAACCACAAAATTCTCTGTTACAAAATATACCAGACTTGTGGACTGGGATCTCACTGTGGCTTATATTCTCCCAGCTAAGGCCAACACATCTGCTTCAGCTAGGCAAACCTGCTGTGAATATAGAAGGCATGTGAACAATCTGAACAAAATCCTGGCTTATAATCCTTCTATATTCCTATAATCTGCTGTGATCTCAGCATCCCTCCACATAGCCTCCATCCAACTGACAGAAAGAGTTGTCTCATCAATCTAGCAAAAACCAAACTCAAAAGCACTAAAGAGACAGTCTGTGAGGGATGCAGAAGTAAAACACAGTGAAGTCCAGCACAAGACACACTGCACCAGCTAGTGGAATGATAGCCTCAAATCTGCAAGATTTTGTCAGGTTTTTGAGTTTACCCCAAAATGAGGAACCTACAACCGCAATCTCCAAGCACCTTCGACTGTCACAAGAAGGGAGGCAGAAGCAGCTGCTGTGCATTGCAAAATGAGAGAATGCTGCTGCACTCATCGTGTTCTGGCTGAATTCTGATATTCTAGGGCCATCCTCAACAGGATTTACTATCCCTTCCCAAGATGCTTCTTACAGAATAACTCAAACCCTGGTCTGCTGCAGGAGATGCAGAAGGAAAGAGAAATAAAACAACCTCAAATGCAAGAAAAATAAAAAATTATTCCAAACACCTTGCATTGTCAATGAGGCACTGAGCAAAATGCCAGTGCAGCTCTCCCCCAGTCAACGAGAATGTGAAAAGCCAGCTGAAATCTTCTACCCCTGGAGAGAGTTGCACTACAGGAATTTTCAATCAGTCAAGTTTTTAACCTAGGATGAAAAAAACACTGGAAAATCAGCCCAACCGCAACTGTCATCAGCAACAGCAAGGATGGTGCCTCCGCCAGGTTCTGCACTTTCCTCCTGGCAGAACCAAACTCAGTTTAACTATTTCTGGCCAACGATCCCAGACGCAGAGCCCAGAAGGAATTCTCCTTCAATAGGGTTATTCACTGGAGCCCTAAAATCCGCCTGCATTTGTCGGAAGCCGGATGCAGCCTGGGAAACTGGCCTGGCTACCTGGCTCTCCATTTTCACTATCAAGAGGCGATCCTAGCTCCCTACCCACTTCCAGTCAAGGACAGAACTCTCTCCTAGTCACAGTGCAACAGCCACGTCCGACAGTATTTTCACTATCATTCTGCAAAAGCGCTTATTTTTTAAGCAAATGTGAGCAAGTTACGGGAGCACCCAGCCCAGTGCCAACGAGCCCGGGCTGGAACAGACACAAAACCATGGTGTGCTCCCAACGAGCCGCCCATTCTTCAGAGGTGCGAAGGCACCCCACAGAGTCCGTCCGGCTGCAGCCTCCGGGAGGCGCCAGGGCCAGGCAGCAGGGAGAACTCCGAGCCCGGGCCGGGCCGGGCCGGCCCTGGCTCCGCTCAGCCGAGCTCACGGCTACCCACCTAGCTCGGAGGCCGCAAAGAGCAGAGTTCCGGCCCCAGGCGCCAGCCCCGGCGGGAGCTAGAACGGTGCGAGGGGGAGTTCCCCCCACAGAGAGCCCGATGCGGCGGGAGGCGGCCTGGGACTACCGCCCCGCACGAGTCTGACCGCTCGGCTCGGCACGGCTCGGCACGGCACAGCTGCGTTTCACCTGTTGCGTCGACTTGCCCTGCCCCGCGTCCACCCGAGCTGGAGGTCGCTCCCGGCCCCAGCGCACTGCCCCAGGGAGCGGCAACGCCTCTCTTGCCACTCAACAGGTGCGTGGCGACTACACTCACCTCTCCGCCATGGCCGCTCTGCCCGCGAGCGGGGCAGGATGTGAAACCCGATACTGGCCCCGCCCGGGGGCGGTGCGTCCCGATCCGAGACCCCCGGCCGCTCCCCGGGTCCCTCTGCC